CCATATGTATGGAACAATGGTGTGTTCGCTCATAATTGGTTAGGAAGCCTACTATACACAGCGCGTGGTAGATCTTGGCTCAACAAAAATTGCTTCATTTCAAACATTGATACTAAGGTTATGTTTGGCTCGTTGCTCTGGGCCTCATTTTTTTTTTAATTCTTGTTCATTTTAGGCAAGAATGAGTAATATTAGAGCGTTAGGTTACAAAATTCTTGCCATAGGATTCATTCTTTTCAGAATGAAAAATCAACCCATAGCACAAAAATTGAGCATTCTGAAACACGAAAAACAATCATATCCCATCTTGCTCATTTTCATTATTTAAAAAAACTCTATGCCAATGGTCATTAATCACCATCCCAGGTCTACAAAACCACCACCATTTATGTTTATTGGTGGACTGTTGTAAAAACTTATGCCAACAGGCATTGGCCACCGACCATCCATCAATAAACATCTATGTGGCGATTTTGGAGACCATAGGTTGGTGGTTTATGACCGCTAACACAGTTTTGTTTATGAATAAAAATAAGCAGCATAGGGCACTTGTCAATTTGAAAAGAATTCATTTTTAAGATATAAGTGTTTAGTTCATAGTAATATTTTCTCATTCTACCCATTTTTATCCATTCTTGTTCATTTTAGAATTTCATCTTGGGTAAGAATGAGAAAGAATGAGAGTTGAACCAAACATGGCCTTCTTCCTTATTCATTCATTCTCTCACACAAAGTAAAATTCTCACAATTTTGCTTCTTCCTAAAAGAACCTGTAAGAAAATAGCCTTACTCCTACATTGAGTTTCTCCCATATAAAGTAAGAACCAAATTATTTCACCTCCAATTTTATTCTCTGAAAGAAATATAGCAAAGAGATTCAACTATGATGATGGAAAAACATGATATTAGAAAAACTTACAACCATTCAACTCGCATCATAAAAAAAGGAACCAATCAAATGGATTTTCACCAAAATTCAAAGCGGGTTATGATTGGTCAAAACCTTTCCAATATCATGTCTTTCCGCCATCATAGATTTTTCTGAAAGTGAAACAAAAAAAAAAACTAAAGTGATCAAAATTTGCACTCCCTTGAGTTTTTCATTAGCTGTGTTTGGTTGCAATGCAAATAAAGTTGCATTGATACAAAACTATGGCAATGCAAATGGTTTGAGTATAAATTTTGATTTATTTTTGTTTCAAATTTTAACTTATTTTGTTTGATTGCGGTGCAAATGAAGTAAATTAAAACAAAAAATAGAATAAAGTAAAACCCAAAAGAAAATTAAATGAAAATTTATATTTTTTTCATTTGCACTTCTATGCATTTGTACTATTACAAATAAAATTACACTGCAACCAGCATAATGTAAAGCAAAACCCTAACAGAAATTAGGAGTACATTGACAGCCTTAGACTTTTACCACCTCGCCTATAACAGAAATAGTACTACCGAGATCCTTTTTCAACTCAAGTTAAATGAGCATGTCCCAACAGTTTATACTCTGCATTTAAAAGAAAAAAAAAATAAAAAGAATCTCTACCATGATGGTCCAATTTTATTTTTACAGACTGGCCGATATATATATATATTCCTGCTAACTCATAATAAGGGGTCATTTACTAAAAGACCCCTCATAGATTTTCTCATTTATCCTGTAACCTACGTTTCACTAAAACATGTCCTATTATTTGTAACTAATTTAGAACTCTGATTCAGACCTCACAAGATTATATTCACACTGTTTTCTCGCTTATACTGTCTTGGAAATATAATAAAAATATTTTAAGTAGGGAAATATTCCTAGTATACGGTTACAATTAGAAATGGTAATAAGGTAGGGCGGGGTTAGGTTTTGCCTATCCCCGACCCCAAACTCAAATGCTCCATCCTATCCTCTGCTCCAAACCCCGACAAGGTTAAAAATCCTAACCCCATCCTTGTGCTAACAGGGAATAAGGATCTCCAAATTTTTCCGGCTCCATCCTGGTCATTCCTACTTTTATACTTACAAATTTATTCTTTTATTTTTTTGAACCTACCTAAAACTATTTTATATTATGTAATTGTTACTGTCAAAGATGGGCCAAGGGCAACGAGGTATTTTCACTTTCTTAGCCAAGGGATGATGAAGCCGCTGGCCCATAAGTCCAACCTATAAAGGAAAAAGCATGCCAGAGGCCCCATGTGTTATCCTAGGGTCAAAGACTCCGACCAGCAAGTTAATAAGCACGTAAAAAGGGGGTCAACGACAGGTTGAAAACATTGTTATACCATACCAATTTATAATATATTGGATCAAATTAGGATCACACAAAGAGAAAATTAAATTACTCAAACAATTTAACTAAGATCCTTGATAAATATTTTGTAAGTTGATATTGGAAGGAAAAACCAAATGGAGTTTTTATACTTCAGTCCACCCCTAGGGTGGAGCTAAAATTTCTATGGATGGACTGAATCATGATGACTTTATCTTAATGTCCATTAGAACAGATTTAATCAAAAAAAAAGAATTCGCTCAGTAAATTTTGTTCTAGAAGACATTGTTTCTCTCTAAAAACTTGAATAAATAACCATGAATCCATTACCCATATGATTAAGTGATTGTGGCAATACAAACCGTTCATAACGAAAAATCGATTAAAGTAAATCAGTTGCAAATTGAAGGGGTGTTTTAGTAAATTACTCTATAATAAATCATAGACTTGAAAATTTTTTTTTTTTCGTGGAAATCATCAATTCAAACCGGGATAAGAATGTCAAGTCATTTAAATCGGTATGGGGCCATTGACTGGTTTTCAACCCACGCATGAATCAGTTCACTTTCCACAGTTTCTTTGGAGATAAAACAAAAGAACGCGGTCTATCATTCTAGACGGTGGGGCCTTACTCTTACATCTCAATCGGATCATCTATGCTAGACTTGTGATGTAGACCGTTCCTGTTTGACGGTCTGTATCACTTTTGTAAAACCGCTAGATCAGTAAGATATATTGTTGATGATAAGACTTGGCTACACCATAAAATTGCCTGATCTCTTTTGGCTGGCAAAGTGGCAAGTTGGTTGGTTACTGCTTACTGGTGCTATAATTGCAAGGTCCAAAGTATCAACGTCAATCTGTACGCTACACGTGGCAAATAGCAGCCGCTGAACAATGATTCTTTTCAACGAGCCATACGTTATGTTCTGTATTTGGATATTATCTATATCCTCTGATGACACAGCAGAAATTGGACTACGAACCGAACCCTTGGGCTTTGATCCATTGGATCCGTAGAGCCTGTGGGACCCATCACTTTTAGCCCATAACTCCTGTAACAAACTCTGCCAATGTGTCGGGTCTACTCGGCAGAACCGAACCGACCGATTATGACAGTTCTGGTTCTGTTTCGAACCGAGTAGAACCGGAACCAATTATATAGTTATATAGATTTACTGGTTTTCATGTATTTTTTTCTTGTGTTTTATGTTAAAAGGGCAAGTTTCATATAAAGTATAAAGATAATTTTGATTAAAACGCTTGTCTTATCAAAATATAAACAATTTATTATTTTATTGTCACTTTTATTGAAAGTATTTTATCAAAAATGAAATTTTAAATTGTTATTAACTTAGGGTTCAACTATAATTAATACCAAAAAAACTTTTAATCAATCAACCAATATCATAAAAAAGTGGTAACCAATAAGGAGGTGTTTATCAAAATTCACTAGGGCTTTGATCGGTCTCTTCCGATATCATGCATTTCAAGCAACATAGATTTTTTCATTAATTTATTAAATTATATATATATCAAATATAACCAATCAGATAGAGCTAATTAATCTTGATTGATAACTGATTCACTATGGCCGTGTTTCGAGACGATGCATATAAGTGTGAATGCAAATATGTAGAGTGTAAAATAGTTCATATAAATTGTAAAGTTGGATTAGTTTTGCATTGACAAATTTACCTTCTTATCAAACAAACTTTTAGCTGTAATGGATGCAAACGTGAATTCCAATAAAGCATATGCCTTTTTTTTATCAAAAGCCCAATTGAATGCAAATTTACTTCTTTTTTATTGATTTACTTCTACATCGTATTATCAATGTAAATATACACCGAAAAAATGTGTTTTCTGTCATTTGTCAATGCATAAATGTATTGTTGCCAAACACAGGCAAAAATGAACCAGAATGCAAATTTACCCTAAACCGGGATTTACACTCCATTTGCATTGTTTCCAAACATGCTACACACATGTGCAAGTAAGAATGAAAGGGCAGAATATAAGTTACTTTGGTTTAACTTCATGACCTGCACCTAGGGGTGTGAATTGGACCAGATTTGATCCAATCCAATGAATATTTCGAACCAATTTGGACAAGTTCAATTCAATGTCTAGACCCTCAAATCTGGTCAAATTGATTTCAATTTAAATTTGTTCCAACCCAAACCTGGTCAATTGACACCTATATTCTAATCTTCTACCAATAGACAAATATTGGTTCAACCTTATCCAATCTAATATAAATCCATTACCAATGGATCAGGTATGGGTTTGGGATTGGTCCACCCTGTCCCTAATTAACCTGACCGGATCCATTTGACGGTTCTAAATCTTTAAACAAAAACTGGTTAGACGTGGGGAGTAGGGATTACCAATGAGAGCGGGACTAGTGGATCACCGCCATACCATAAATGGCACGTGCCGAAAACGTACTAGGTAAACAGTACGGAGACCAAACCCCTGATTTAACAATTAACCGGTTGTTGCCAGTTGACGCGGAGAACGTACGTAAGCACAGAGTGAGAGGAGGGAAAGAGGTTGTCGTTCAACCTGTTCAAAGCTCTCTCGTATTCAAAGATATCAAATACTGACAAGTGTGTTAATGGAAGACAGAGATGATGAAGCTTAGTATGATCCAGCTGTTCTTCAAAAAGAAACTCTTCAACTTAACCGAATCAATCGCTCATTTAAGCATATATTCAATTTGGATTTCAGGATTTGTTTATATATCCATGAACTCACACACTACCACTCATGCTCCTACTTGGAAGCTCCCTTCGTCTCATAATAAAATCCCACGTCGATACCCATCAACATCGATCACTCGCCTATATATATTCCATGCATGACTCACACTCTTCCTTGTCTGAACGTTTGCCAGGAATTAGCAAATCTACTGGAGAATTGCTCAGTTGGGGATTCATGGAGCAGAGTGTAGCAGAGAGTGGAGGGAATTACCGGGGAGTTCGGAGGCGGAAATGGGGGAAATGGGTGTCGGAGATACGTGAGCCGGGGAAGAAAACGAGAATTTGGTTGGGCAGCTTCGAAACGCCGGAGATGGCAGCCACCGCCTACGATGTCGCGGCGTTACAGCTTAGAGGACGGTCGGCGAGGCTTAACTTCCCTGAGTTGGCGGGCAGGCTTCCTCGTCCTGTGAGTTCCAATGCTGATGACATCCGGTCGGCAGCTCATGAGGCGGCTTCACTGCTCAAAGGCCACCCGACGGGAAGCTTCGAGGTGGGTAGCTCTGGCTCCAGCTCATACTCTGTTCCAACAACCGTGGGGTTGTCACAGAGTCAAATTCAGGCTATAAATGAATCACCATTGGACTCCCCTAAGATGTGGACAGAGTTAGCAGAGGCTCTGTTGGTGGAGCCACCTACTGTAGTTTACAGGGATACCGAAATGAGTTACTGGGGGGATGAAATGCAAAGCGATTTCCTTTGGACCCCCTAGGCCCTAGTTAGATTACTTGTAGCTATATTCTAATAATAACTAAAGTCTAAGAGAAAGACCATTAATTAACTTGAGAGACAGAGAAAGAGAGATTTAACCCAACTGGTATTTTATTTTACGATAATATCCATTGGGTCCTTCTCCATGTTGCTTACTTGTCTCATATTAAACAATATAACCGGATTTTCTCATATTGGGGATTTGGGATTCATTAGGGTCTGATTTGGGAAGAAACAAAGCAAGAAAAAGGAACTGTTTGTTGGTAGGTGGGGAGTTGGGGAATATAATTAAAGTTTGTAAGTGCTTGTATTTGTGAGAAAATTGTTAATTCTACATTAATTCCTGTATACTTTATTCCAAGGGGGGCCTTTCATGTCCAAGATGAAGTGTTCAAGGGGCCCATCTGAGTAGAGGTGAGATGCTTTTTGAGGGTTACATATAGCTTGTGGTCGTTCTGTCTGTGAGAGAAGTGGAGGGGCCAAGCTCACATAATGACTTATTTTATATATTTTTACTTTTTTTTTTCTTCATTGTTGTGGTTGCAGTTAATACAAGAATGGATTGTAAGGTCACATTTAGTATCTTTTCTACATGTAAACATGGGCTAATTATCTTGAATTAATGCTTGAAAAGTTGGAATTAAACAAGTGGTGGATGTATCTACTTAATATGCTTTTGGGATTTTTCATGTATTACCTTTGCGAAGAGTATGATAAACTTTATACCTCATAGCCAAACACATAAATCTGATTTTTCTTAACACATAAGTGATACACCGAGGAGGCAACCAATGAGGATATCCACTAGAACTTTGTTATCACTTTCTATTTCCACTTCTATCAAACCTGATTGTGCACGATCTGGTCTTTCCCCGCCGGAAGGCAATTCGGACATCAAACTGCTATGTAGCCGGGTCGAACTGCAAGGCCAAAAGATCATAGCGTTTTGGGGTATTTTACCTGGTGTGGGTACTTCAATGCTTAAGTTAGCGGAGGAGATTTTAGAGAGTTGATAACTTGTAAATAATCAAGTGAGGAAGCTAAATCGCGCGTACCTTGTGAGGCTGGAGGCGAAGCCTTTATATAGGCGAGATACTATGGGCCTCATGATGCGTGTCTGAGATCACCGACCCATCTAACCCAGAGTCAATTCCGCACCCGAAGATGGACTCTAAGTAAGCTAATAAGGCTTATCCATGTCCATCCAATTCGGGTGGGATCAAGATAAGATCCGTTTCCATGTGGTGTGATCCCGAGGAGATCGGAGAAAAATGGCTTGCTTCTAGAAGGAGGCTACGTGGCACCTCGGTAGGTCAGTGAGTGTGGCAAGCTGCTCGGGCCCTGGTCTTGGTTAAGTGACCCGAGGTGCCCAAGGTGACTAGGACTGCTAAGTTGTCCAGGGATGTTGAAGTGTCGCCAAGTCATTGTGTCGCTCCAAGTGTCATTGGATCATTGGATGGGCCAAATTATCCCTCATCAATTACCCCCCACTCCCGCACTCAATGTAGCTAACTCGAGGCGAGAATCTCAATGAGCTGAATGGATTTGGCCGGTCTTTGGTTTAGTCGAGGTCCAACCAACGGTTCAAACTTGATCAACTCAACTGGCTCGACCTTAAGGGGCGTAGTCGCGTCTTGGGTACGCATGGACATCACGCAAACTATAAACTCCACAGACGTTAAAAACATGCTTAACCGAATTCAACCTCAAAATACCAAATAGTCGCACCCTTGGGAGTCATTAGATTTGTTCAATCTGGACCATCCGTGGTCAGTTAAGGCAACTATAAATAAGGACCTTGGGCCCATTTACTTCATCCCATTTTGAGCTCTGGTGCATTCGGAGGTCGAAAAACATGTTGTTGTCGGTGTCGTCAGTTCAATCGACGAGGTCGGTCTTTCCTTTTAGGTGAGTCATCTTCCTTTGCTTGTTTCATTTCCTTGTGTTTTCATTCCTTTCAGTATGTCAAGTAGTGAGTCTAGTGGGGAGAGGGTTCAGCTCGCCCTGGCCGAAGAGGGGACCTCGGTCCAAAACTGATGAGGTTCCCATAAAAGGGCCTCCTCTTCCTGTCAGCCATCTAAGCCCAAAGTGCCGGACCACTTTAGTCCCATTGAGTTGTCTGCCAAGGAGATCCATAATCTGGCAACTCAGTACAAGTTCCCAAACCATTATGGTCATTCTCTTCCCACTGATGGTTTTCCTTGGGAGCACGACGAGGACGAGGTGGTCGTCTTCAAGGAGGCTCTAAAGGCAGGTCTCTAGTTTCTGTTCCACCCCTTTGTTCCCAAGGTGCTAAACTACTATAATGTCAGCCTTAATCAATTACACCCGAACTCTATTCGTACCTTGGTTGGTACAACTTCTCTTTCCTTTCACCTCGACCCTCTCCTTGACATCAAGACCTTTGCTGGCCTCTGCCAAATCAAATAGAATCTTGCTAGCACCTCGGGCAAAGTCAACCACTACCTATCTTATTGGCCTGGATACAAACTTCTTTAAGGCTTCCCATCCAAAGTCCCAACCTGGAAGAGTAAGTATTTTTTTCTTGCGTTGTTTGGTGGGTGGCCCTTCCCGACACACTAGAGAGAGGGGGTGAAAGACATCGGGGAGGAAATGAGTGAGCAAGTGCAGGCCAGGGTGTAGAACCCGGTAGACCGCGAGCTAGATCTGAAGGATTTCTTGACCAAGGAGAAGCTAATCTAGGCTAGGATGAGTCCTTCGAGTAGGTTGTTGTCCTAGGTTCAGATGTTTGCTTTCTTTACTTCACGTTAAATTTGACTAACTCTCTAACTTCTTGTGTAGGTGACATGTCAGGCATCACAACTTCGAGGTAAGAGGAAGAAGAGGAAGGTGTCTCATAGGGGTGCACCTCGAGCATCCTCTCCTGAGCCCACTTTGCCAACTACTATTGAATAAGTACCAGTGGTTGACCTAGTCGGGGAAGATCAAGAGGAGAGGCCATCACAAGATACCGAGGTGGCCCAAACATCTAAGGAGAAGCTAATCCAATTCAGGATTAGTCCTTCGGGTAGGTCGTCATCCCAGGTTTGGATGTTTGCTTTCTTTGCTTCACATTAAATTTGACTAACTCTCGAACTTCTTGTGTTGGTGACATGTTGGGCATCGCAACTTCGGGGTTCCTCCAGAGCATGAGGAAGAGGAAGAAGATGAAGGTGTCTCACAAGGACACACCTCGGTAATCCTCTCCTAAGCCCACTGTGCAAACTACTACGAAAGAAGTCCCGGTGGTTGACCTAGTTGAGGAAGATCAAGCGGAGAGGCTTTTACAAAAGACCGAGGTGGCCCAAATGCCCAAGGCGCGCCCTCTATAACCCAGGGCTCCATCAGCCAAGGAGGCTCCCGAGGAGAGGTGGTCCATTATGGACTTCAGGACTGCCCTGATCAAGAGAAAGGAGGCCATCTTCCCCGAGGAGGTTTCTGACCTCTTAAAGATGCAGTCCAGTGAGCTCAGTGCCAGAGCCATGTGTTTCATGATGGTAAACTTTCAACCTCTTCATTGTTCTATTCCCAAGATGTCTGAGTGGCATCTGGTGAGGGCTAACAATGCTGAGGTGGCGGCGAGCGAGTATCAGTCCCAGGTGGAGTGAGTTGTTGGTGCCATCAAGAAATTGAAAGATGAGCTGGTGAGCAAGAGGAACCACATCGGGGAGCTGGAGCTTCACGTCAAGAAGCTCAAAAAGGATCTTCAAGAGAAGGGTGCTCGCCTCACTGAATGCGAGGTCCAATTTCTTGATGAGGTCCAAGTTTCCAAAGCCCATTCCATTGAGTACAAGGTCTTGACAGACATCTATCTACAAGAGAAGGAAGAGTTCGGAACTGCAGCTTTCCATCAGGGCTTCAAACTCTACCGGATGTTGATGAGGTCGATGTACCCTGAGCTCGACCTCACACCCATCAAGTCCTCGGCCTACACCAATGAGATGTTAGATCAGATTGACCAGGAAACAGATTTTGAGGAAAGGAAGATAGGGTCAGTGAGGGAGCTGAGGTGGGAGCCGAAGATGATTCTACCGGAGAGAATGCAGCCGAGGAAGATGTTGCCGAGGAGGAAACTATTGAAATGGATAGAGATGGGGACAAGGAGCCCAAGAATTTCTGAATCCTTTACCTCTTATCTTGGACCCCCTGTAAATTTGTAAAGTGTCGAGCCTCTGAGCTTGGTTTGAAGAACTTTTTCCCTTTTCTTGATGACGATGATGAAATCAATCTTTAACTTCAATGAATGAAAGTTTCTTTTCTACACACCTCACATCCATCTTTTTTTAGTACTTCTCTTGAACCTAAAACTTCAAAAATAAACTAAGTGTAGGATTATCTCGAGGTGCCTAGCTCCCAAACGACTAGGCATAGTATGAGATTAACCCAAGGTGTCTATATGCCGAAGCAACTAGGCATAGTATGGAATACAACCCGAACTACCTATCTGCCAACTGGGCATAGTATGGAATTAACTTGGACTACCTATATGCCGAAGCGACTAGGCTTATCGAACCGGGGTCGTTATCAAGTCGGCATAGGGGACCTTTTGTTAGATAGTGTGTGCCCTTAGCTCCAATCAGATTGATGTACTTATTGTCATTTATTATAAATGAATAAAGTGCATAATTGATTCATGTTATTATGGTGTGTTTTTGTGTAATACCCTTAAATTGGACACTTACGAGACTCGTGTTAGTTTAGAGTCTTCATAGCCATTGGATAAATTTAGGAAGATTTATCCTGCCAAGGCTGACATTGATGTGCCGCCAAGTTGGTTGGGGTGGCTTGTCTCAATTGCCAGGGTGAGACCTGAGGTACATGCAGTGGGTTTTCTTGAAAACTTGAACCGAACTAAATTCCAGTATTGCATTGGACCTTGGAGATAGATGGGAAAAACTGGAATGTTACACCTAACCCCTAGACTCGATTATGGTACTGCACTAGGTGTCGGATTGGGCTATCTTTGATATGCCAATGAGTGAGATCCTTAGAGGGGGTCAAAACCTGGGTATGTTGGGATAGTCCAAGAATTCACCTGAGTGGGTGATCATAGTGACAGGATCAGCCCTTTTGTCGAACAAAGTAAATAATCGGGAAATGCACTCTCTCTGATGGAAACCTAAACTACCGGCAGTGGATTTCAAATTTGTTTTGCAAAATATATTTATATAGAGATATACATATACATTATGGTTTCAAATTGTTTGCAAAATGTTTTAATTCCCGGGATCTATGTGAATAGAGAGTGCAACACTGTACCTTGCAGTCGAGGGAGAGGTCCTCTCTTGTCAGACAGTGTATGATCATTAAGGGCTGAGAGGTTAAGTGTAAGACCATTGAGGGTAATACCTGATGGGCAAATCTTGCATCTGCCCACAACCCTTGGGCTTTCATAAGATGGATGGATCCAAGGACCATTTAGTGTAAATGTTGGGCCCATTAAGAGCCCATGGTGATGGACTCAGGGGTTCACTGTGTCCTACAATGAATTCGATCAGGCCTTGTAACAGAGGCTGGGTTGAACCTATGTGGCTGATGTGTAGATCGATGTTAGGGTCCCACACCATACAAAGAGAGCCAAGTTAGCCAACAGATTAAAGGGTTAGTGAGATATGTGGCTTAA